GTCTTCTCTTTCAGATGATTCCGCGGCCTTGAATGCGAGTGAGGTTCCACTAGCAGCGAGGCACAGGATGCCTGGTATTTAGCCAGCTCCCTGTGCTTGGCAAGCAGGCGGGCAGGCAAGCTGCGCGCCGGCGGTCGGTCGCTAGGCAGGCGGGCGGGCCGTGGCGGCAGTGGAGGCGGCGGCGACGGGCTGCGCGCGGGGCGAAGCGGGGCAGGGCGAGGCGACGCGTCGCGGCGCGACGGGAGAGAAGGCAGGCTAGCGGGCAGGCCGAGTGGCAAGCCAACGCGAGAAGACAGGCAGGCGAGTGTGTGTGTGTGTGTGTGTGTGTGTGCACGAACCAACGACAGACTGACATAGCGAAGCCTACGTAGCATGTATCTGTGCATTTCTCTCGGTACACGCACAGAAGTTCCTGTAGTACAGGTGAGGGAGTCCTACTCCGCCGACTCAAGAGTTCAGCGACCTGAACTCCGCACTACTCTTTGCCGCCTTTTGAGAAATACGGCGAAATTGACTTGAAAGGTTTATACAGATCAGTGAGGCCGTTCCAAAAATATCAATTAAAATGGTGACCCGTTGAAATAAAATGGCGCCGCGAAAACGCTAATATTTAACCAATAACGAAACTAACCGATGTTGTGGCGTGATCATCAAACTATTTTCCTTAAAATGCACATTTCTACCATTTTTATGCAACATTACTACCATTTTAATAAAATTACAGATTCCTGTAATGATATCAACCATTTAATAACATCGAGTAAAAATGGAAAAAGTGTTGTTTTTAAACAACAAGCTTTTCTATTAATCAGTCTTTTAAAAATGTACAAACAATACAATCACCCAACTTATTATAGTATAGTACCTATTGTTCCCATTCAACATGCAATGCGACAAGATGACTCGGTGAGATTTATGATACAAATAATTTATAAAATGAATTAAATAATCACAATTTATTATTTTACTAGTATTATAATTTTAAACATTTTACTTATTATATATATATATATATATATATATATATATATATATATATATATATATAAAATCAGATTATTTCCATGATTCTGGAAAACAGATACTTGAATTAGTTTTACCAAACAATATGTCTCCATGGAAAATTAGTGAAGAGAGACGCGAGACAAAATTAAAATGAATCAATAGGAAACATATCGTTAACAAACTTTTATCAAAACTTCTCATTTATCAAAGTTTAGAGTAAACTTAAAAAAAAAATCTTGTGCGAGAAAGTCCAGAAGATAACTCTTTAGAAAATGGAATTCTTTCAATCTAATATGGTAAGTATGCGCCAACAAACGCTCGAAAAATGCATGTCACAAAAACATTTAAAATGATTCTCTTCTTGTTTTTTGGTGTAGGTCAAAATATTAAATAAATTAAACCTGGATTCCTTTCAATATTCCCAACCTCAAGCCAAAATATTCATTGAAATCGTAATACTGCCAACAATAGTAAATCGAACAACAAAAGAACGTTTCTAAATATTCTACACGCAAAATCGCAGTTCCTTAATTGGATAACTTCTCCTGAATGGACAGTGTACTATTATGTTACTCTGAATTACCCGCGAGCTAAAATCACAAATCCTCTACGACCTTAAAAATTGGATGAATAATTTGAGAAGGCGGATGCAAGACTGACAAATGCAACCATTTCATAATGAATTTCGGAACAACGACCATCTTTCGAGTTTCCGCTCTCCGCAGATCTCTCTCTGACACTTGTCGCCGACAACGCACGCCTATCCGCCTCCGCGACGGAGAACTGGCGAATAGTACACAACGCGCTGCCCGCCGCCGCCCCCTATATAGAGCACGGCACGTCTCGCGCAGCGTGCGAGTAGGTCAGGGTCCCGGGGCCACGCGGCAGTGGCGGCCCGGCAGTCCGCGGCCGAGGCCCGAGCGAGGCGCGCGCGGCAGCGCTGTCCGCCGCCACCGCCGCCTCTGCGCGCCGGCGAATGGTTCGGTCGGCGCGCGCGACCCGGCCTGGTCGCTCGCGGATGGAAAACGTAAACACTGCCGTGGCGGCGCCGCCACGCCGGCCTATCAGGTGCAAGCAAGAGACGCGCAGCGCCCTGGCCGCCCACCTGTTCTCAGGCGCCGGCCCCAGTGGGCGGAAGGCGCCTCCACTACCGGAGGGTGGGTCGAAAGGTCGCTGAACTGCTGCCATCCATGACGCCCACACACGTATTTCTCTACATACGGACTAGAGAAAATATCATGCCCAAAATATACTTACTAAAACTATGGGTATCTCATTTGTTTTTGTTTTTTTTACAATCCGAAGACCAAGAAAGGTAAATCGGAAATGTTAAGATAATCGATATAACTTCTCTCCGAAATATGCACCATTTTTAGAAAGATGCGGTTTGTTTATTAAAACGCAACTAGAATTTCAACATGAAATAGGTCGCATTTTTCACGTGTCTTCGACTTTTTAATTAAAATATACCGACTTCTAACTGCAGTACCTACAGATGATCTCTGCCCCTTTCACGTTACTTCAAACATTAAACGTTTTGGTTAGTCCCAACACACACAATCGTATTGTACATCTTTCTTTCCAAACTTTAATTACATCCAACTAATACGTAGGCGCTCACAATTGACGCAATAAAATTACCTACGAAACCCTCAATACAATCTACTTGCAATAAGACACCACACACTACATAATTCACCATAATCACAATATACCAATGCATCAAGAAACAACCAAAGAAAAATGCACAGCCCCAACCTTTTATTCCAGACAAAATTTCAGCCAGCGGTTAAAAAGACCCGATTCTAAATCCAGTTTCTTTTCATTAGACTTTCTATATGTTTTGAAAACGGATCAATAGTGAATCAAATTTAGTATTTTATTGGAACACATTTTAAATATGTATCCATACTCTTTTAATGTGTACTTAAATCTGAACATCAGGCTTACCATCTCACAAAGCACATTCCACTTTTTCTGCTATCAAATGTTCTCAACCTTACCTACATTCCAAATGTTAGAACAAATTGAATGGTTGAATTCTAAAATGATTTTAGTGTATTTTTATAAAATAAGTCTTCTCTTTTCAGTAGTCTTCTTAATTTTGTGTATAGTTTGTTTTCCTCTGTGTTTGTTTTTTATTTTTTAATGTATAGTTTGTTTTCCTCTGGATTTTCACCAATTATATGCCCTTTCTATACTCAGCAGGATTTCATTAGTAAAAGTTTAATAAATACTCATAAAAACAGAGATATGTGTGATTATCTCTCCAAAATAAAAATTGGAGTATTACAATAATCATAGGCAAACAACTATTCTTCAAGCAATATACATAATTTACCAATCACTAAAAGTTAACAATTACAACTTATTTTCAAGATTTTTTTTTATTGTTCATAATAATACCAGTGGGGTGGTACATACATCATTCTGTACTTCCGATCTTACATGCATTAATAACTGTTTACATTCATCTTTGAGCACGAATAGAGTACTGCAAGTAAAATAGAAATAGAGGAGCCACTACTCTAGGTCCAATATTCACGGTCGCATTTCTGCCCGAAAACCTACGTACCCACCCAAGCATTTTTGAAGACAAGTGATTTCCTCCATTTGGGTGAAAAGATTGTAAGACAACACTGCCATTGCACAGTTCGGGGAATCAAAATAATACAATAACCTCGTAGAACATAGCACGTTCGCCTGTAGATGTGACAATTTGACTTAATTCAAGAAACTGTGAGAGCGACAATCAGCACCACCGTTACCACGAACTAGGGAGGGAATCAAACTAGATACTACGAGATATCGTACACCACGGGCACAGCGAAGCAAGCGCGGGATGTCCGGCAGGCGCGAAGAGCCGATCCCCCACACCCACCACCGGCGGCAGGCCGGGCCATCCACGTGATAGAGGCGCGAGCGCGCGCTTGACGACCCGGTGCAGCCACGCGGACGCACAACTACCCCTTCTGCGGCGTTCAAATCTCTATGGCTATTGGGCACCTTTCGAAAAAAGCACGACTCCCTAATGCGACAACGCGGCCAAAATCCATGATATGCGAATGCGATTACGCCCTTCGAAGTCAATTCGGCAAAAACTATGCACAGTATTAATGTGACGTCTAGTACTCCAACTTTTTCGATCTAAAAAGTCTACTAGAACCTCAGGACTACACCGTATTTCTTAAAAACAAATCAACAATTCTATTAAATTATAAAATCACAACACCCCTTCATATAAAAACACAACTTTCCTTATTTGATCTAATGTAATAGACGACGAAGGCACAAGAACGAGCGAGGTTTTGAGAAAACAAAAGCTCTTTGCTTAATCCTTCAAACATTTAATAATATATTAAAAATGTCTAAGAGTTGATATTTTAATTCGGGTTACTGAATGTACAAGAGTTCTCAGTTTTAATTCTCTGTTCACAAATTAACCATTCAGAAATTATTGCAAATGCTTTACCTATTTTGTTTGTATTTACAGGTATTTTATTTGTCTCTAAATTACTGTAACATAAAACTTGTAAATACACAAGTGAAAAAGCTTCCTTCAACTACAAGTTCTCTGCACCAACTTTAACATATTAAAAATAAACATACCACAAAAAATGCAACACTACACAAGAAACAATTAGAAACTCCTAACACTATTTACAACACACTTGTTCTTCTATCTATAACCAAGAAATCGTTCTCCAATTTGATATTCAAAAGAGTATATTGAAAACATAACTTGTTGCACTAAACATCACAAAAAAGTATTTTGATTTACACGCACCATTATAAACTTCGAATTCAATTCCAGTCTGTCAAACTGACATAATTAACCGATACTGGACGAAACTTAAATTGCACAATTCATCCGTGGTATTCTTAGTTCCAGAATCAATATTAGACCTTGATGAACACAGTCTACGAAACTGCAGCTTAATATTTATACATATTCGCAAGCTTCCGAAACAACAGCACAAATAGTTTCACTCCACTTACCTTCACCCATCCTCCGTGGGCTGTGACGAGTACATACAGAAGGTACAAGTCTATTTCGTGGCCATTTATCTTCGGTATTTTACGAAATGGAGTCCTAAGAAACAAATGAGGTAATATAAATACTTCTTAATTCTTAAATAAGCTTTAAACAAAAGCTAAATACATTATAAAAACTACCGTCAATAATCAAAACAAACCACAACTTACCCTCGGGCTTCATGGAATTGCCTTAGGTCTCTTATAAAACCTTCACGTTCCCGTTGGTATGTGACTGGGTCCTTGTTGAGAATTTTGGCCATATTAGCACTAAATCACTTCTGTTTACAACATCACACGTGTTTCAAAGATATATTTATCCATCGAAAGTCCCGATACGCGCGACGCGGACATCGGGAAGTGTAGATTCACCACAGAAAGATAGCAGTTGGGGCACAACCGCCGAGGGTATTGTTCGACTCCCGCACAAGTAGGATTGACTCACTTTCCGAACCCCTGTGCACTCTCGACGTTGCAACCGAGGTCTGGTTCCAATAATACGCAAAACACGCATAAAAATTCTTTCTCACGTAAATCTAACATTTTGTATATACAACTGCACCTTTAGATACCTTTCTAATCGGGAATTCATCGAAATACACCAAATACGTAACACTTCCAACCTCTGCACGTTTCTCACTATGCATAATGTCACTCAGTCAAAATGGCGGCAGCCATTATCCTTTAAAAACGCGGATAGATACTTATTTTCAGAGTTCTCGATAACATAACCACATATTTTCACTTCCACTTTTTGTAAGTAACATGTGTAGTTAAAAACAAATAACACGCCACTTCACACACCTCATCACCTTTAGAAGGTTAGATGTACGCTTGCTGGCCGGGCAGTCCACGCTACACATAGTTAGTTATATTTCTTCGCACAGATGTCGTTAGCAGTCATACCCCATGCAACGTGTTCATAATAGCGTGCTGAAGCTGGGGGAGGTAGGGTTTTTTCTGATGTAAATTATTTATTATTTTAGTTATTACAGTAGTTTTGATAACTAATTATGACTTACAAAAGGAAAAGACACCATAAAGAAGATAATTATCGCCGTAGACAATGGAATAAAATTCCGAAAACGAAGGATTTGGATCAGGTAAATTGTAGTGTATCCACATGGTGTACTGCTTGAATGCTATGAATGCGAAAATGCAATGTTCTGTTATAGATTGATAATGACATGAAAGAAGAGAATGCTCAGAAACTCATTCATCAAGAAATTGATTTTGACAAACCTGGATTAGCACAACATTATTGTCTTCACTGTGCGTAAGTATAAGTTTTTGTTCTCTTAGGATTCAAATAATACCCATTATATTAACAATGTAGTAAGTTAAGTAGTACCTCATAACCTGTTCACATGTGTGTGAGGTTATGGACGTTTGATGTAATGTCTAGGATAATTTTTTGTACAGAATCTAAGTTGTGACAATTGGTAATTATTTATTTTTGTATTTCTTATTTGTAGGAGATATTTCATTGATGATCGTTCTTTAAAAGAACATTTTCGTACTAAAGCTCACAAGCGAAGACTAAAAGACTTGGAAACAGAACCATACACAATTGAAGAATCTGAACGAGCTGGGGGACTTGGTTCCTTTAGTGTTGCTAAGAAGAGAAAGGTAGAAACTCAGGAGTGTAACAGTGTTCTTGAGATTAAACCAAAGGAACAGAAAATGGAGAATTAATGTTGAAATGTTGTAATCATATGTTAAAACAAACTTTTTGGAAATGCTGAAATATAGAATTTTTATTCCTAGGTTTATTGTTTATCGTCATTATGCCACATCGCTTCTTTTTGTGCCAGGTGCTAAAAAAAGTCAACAAGTGTCTATTGTTTCTCCACATCTTGATTTTGATGACAGATTTCGTAATATATCAGAACTTGAAAGAAATGTGAAGGCCAGAAGGTTAAGTATTAATGTTAAAAAATGTCATGAAATGTGGCAAATATTGTGTCATGTTAATAATAGTAAGAGTACCATTGAGAAAAAGCGAGCTGAAATTCCTGCTAAAATTAAAGAACTTCAGGAATGTGGCAAAGTACAAAAGGCAGAAAAATACATACATCAAGCAAAACTATTACGAGAAGAACTAAAGTCATTGTCCAAAACTATTTGGGAATTGGAAGAGATATCTATTCCTAAAGCTTTAAATTTGCCCAATGATCTTCATCCAGACACACCTTTGGAAAGTGAAATTTGTCTGTACAGGAATGATGAGCCTCTCACAAAATGCAGTGAAAGTCATGTTGAAATTGCTGAAAAGTTTGATGTAATTGATTGGAGAAACAATAATTGTTTCTTTTTTTTAAATAATGCAGCACTGTACGAAACACGTGTACTGAGTGTGGTTTCAGAATTATTGAAAAGAGATAAGTACATTGAAGTTTCTAATTCAGATTTTGTTCGTAGTATTGTTTTAGAAGGTTGTGGAATGTCCTTTGACAATCCTTCCATTTCTTTCTTGCTCCAAGACGATGGTGAAAAGAATTTAAATCGCTTACACTTAGTTGGAAGTGCATCTCTTCCTTCATTCTGCTGTTTGCACTCTAAACATTATGTTTCTGAGAACGTTTTGCCTCTGAGATATGTAACTGTGGGCCGTCAATATAAGCCCACTGAAGAAACAGAAGTGAATGGACTTTTCAGCACATGGCAGGAAACAGTTGTTGGAGTATTTGTAGCTACTCCAAGTATTTCTACAATGATGGATGAATTTAATTGCCTGGTGAAACTTATAACGAAGTTTTACCAACAATTTAAGTATCCTCTGAAAATTGTTTATGTCCCAGCTCATAAATTGCAAATTCATGAAAACTTGAGAATGAGTATTCAGATGTATTCACCTAATTCTCAAGCATTTATAGAAGTAGGAAATATTTCAGTATCTGGATCCTTTTTAAGTAAGAGACTTCTCATGTGTTATCAAAAGAGTGACAATGAAAACAAATTCCTCAACATTGTATCAGGAACTCTTCTGTCAGCACCTAAATTTATAGGTTGTGCTATGGAAAATGATTACTGTAGAAATGAGGAATTGCTTGTATTAGAGAGAATTAATAATGGTATATCTGTTGCTACATAAACATGTATATATGTATGTATAATATCAAACAAGATATAACTTCGGCAATAAACTTTAATAAAAAGATACATGTAATTGAAGATGCAACCTAATGTTAATACATTGCAAATATTTCAGTAATTGTTTATTAGTTATTTATTAGCTTGACAGAAAATAATCCCTTAATAATCCAAAGCACATATAAGAGCAACTCCCCTTTTTATCCAGTGCTTTTGAGGCTCTCTGCTTGGTAGTTCCATTGTTACCACATAATTTGTCGAGTGTCCTGTAGTAGAGAGTGTTCCTGCCCTTGTTAATGTTTTATATACAGGAGATTCATATACTGAAGAAGGCGTTACATGGTTTTTCTCTGGTACCATCCATATGATGGGAAATTCTGGAAGCAATGTATTACACAAGATTGTAATTATGAAATGAAAGCAGTATCATATACATAATGAATACTTATGTTAACTTTCCAACCCAACTATTTATAAATGCACAAATAAGCATGTCACTTTTAATTATATTTCAGTCTACTAATCAATATTAGGTTTCCTAACTGTTCTTGTGTTGGCTGTTATCTGTTAATGAATCTAAAACATACATGATCTTTATACTCACAAGATTTTATTTTTAACATGATTTTAATGATTCAGAATTTACAAGGTATTCATTTGAATTGGTTAATAACATTTACATAATTGAGAGTAAAGTATCATTTAACTGTTTGTCACATCCCTTCCTAACAATCCTCTTGATACAGAAAATTTCTGCAATTTATGAAAAAGGCAATAACAAGCAATTATTTTTAATTAACGATCAACTAGTCTTACTACAGAATGGCATAGACATTTTCATACTAGTGAAGTTTTCTAATTTCTTTAGTCTGGGCCATCTTACTGATATTTCCTCACCCTTTTCCGATCTGCTAACTATTGAACGTAAAAGATTTTTTCACATATTCTCAATTTTTTAGTACCTAATAGAAGAATTGTAAAGAGTTACAATATGATAGAAAAGTAAGTTCTCGTCATATGTGAATTTTCATTGAAAAATTTGAAGATGTTTTGAAAAATCTGGCCCAATCAGGTTGAATTCATTTTTCACTATCTGTAAATGAAGAGGAAAATAAATGGAACCATTTTTAAGGAAATTGTTATGAATATTTGCCCACATGTCCCTCAAAATTGCGTGAAAACTTAAATATCTTTTTTTAAATTGTAAATGGCATTAATTAATACACTAATTATGGAAAATAAAGTTCATGTGAAGAAAAAATCTGTCTTCAATAATGTAGTTTTACGACGAGTCCAAAAAATGTTTAACTTTTGCAATTTCTGAAAATTCAGAGTTAACTGTGAATTATATATGTACCATCATTGTGTCTCTCTTTTTACAAGAAAATTTAAAGAAAAAGTGTGAAGCCAGTTTTGAGAAAATTTTGAAAATGTGCTACAGGCTTCTTGTAAAGTTTCTCCAAAATACAAAGAGTTCTTTTTAAAATTTAGAGCATGAGTCAGGCCAGATTGATAAAGGAGGATTCATTCGGGAAAAAATGCTTCTAATAGTTAAGGCCACGGTTCTCCTACATGCAGCCTGCAGGGTCATTTATTGTGGTCCATGTAAGGTTATTAGTCAATACTGAAAGTCCCTTTTATCCATGTCGGACAAGAACATATTGCACTTAGTGCACATGCTTTGCCAAGTTCAAATCCCCCTTACTGAAGTAAAAAAAGATTAAGTTGAGATTTAAGGTTTTTCTAGTATATTCAGAAATTCAAAATCAGCCCAACTCGCTACATTGTGCATGTTATAGCCTGATATCACGCATGATTCCAACCCCACACCCTGTTTTAGAGCAGATGGTTAGAGTGCCAAGATGAATAATATGATGTGCCCAGATCTTCAGAGTAATGCTAATATGCCCTTCAACCAAATTGAAGGTTTTATTTGTGGCCCTGCAAGTTGGGCACCCCTGGATAAGGCCATAGTGAGGTTAATGGACAGACAGATGGACATTTCGAAAAGTAACACTTTTTCAGTATCGAAGGACCCCAAAACATTTTCATTGAAATTTCAAAATTGATTTTTTACATCATTACTACTACTATATTACTCTGTGTTTATGTATGTTTACAAGAAAGTAAAATTGTAAATGTAAATAATTATCTTGTTTATAACATTTTAAAAATCTTCACTTGTTACATAATTTTAACAATTGGTTAATGCACAAATCCAAATTATTTGCACAAATAAAAAAAAAAACCTTGCATAATCTTCATTTATCAAGCAGATAATTCCTGAGACAAACTAAACACATTGTTTAAATGTAGACAGAAATAGTAACTAGTTTTTGTAAAATTAACAGAAATCAATGAAAATGTGACGGGAACAGCGAAAGAACAGTCAACTAGATTTTCCAGAAGAGAATTTTAATGTTTAAAAATATATACTTCCCAAACTGAATTCAATTCTTTCCTATACAATTTACAAAATCTCTATTTATGTGGAGGTGATGTAAATGCGTGTGGTAATAGCTTTCCTCTTTTATTACCAAATGGCACCCCTTTTGTAATATTTTTTTACCACAATCTTATTTTCTCTGTACTCTTAACAATTCTTGTTTTTTAAGCTTTATTATCCCTATTAAGGAATGTGTCTTATAATAATGAAAGTCAGAGAATTTTGACAATTCTCAGTGCAATACCCTTTCATTGCTGATTAAATATTGGTGGGCTTATTATCTCTCAAACTTATGAATATTGTTTACAAAAACTGTATGGAAATGAAGTTTTCATACGTGTGAAAAGCTCCTTGGGTCTTGATTCACCAAGTCCTTTAATGACAGGATCCCACCGTGCTCCTTCAAGGAAGAGTCCATAAACATAACAACCATCTTCAGGTTTCTTGTAAGGAGTACCGTCATGAACCTAAATATAAAATATTTCTAGAGCATAAAGATTTAAATAGTTTGTGTTATCAAGCATAAATTATACATACACGAAATCCAAAAGCCAATGTGTCGATGGAAATCACATACTTTCGAGCATAATTTTGAAGATTGCCTGTAAGGAAAGCTTGAGGGAAAAAAAATCCTGATATCCAAAATGTTATGGGAATACCATGGTCCACCCATTTGTTAATAAAATCTATTCTCTCTTTCAAATCCAGTACCCAAGCACCTGTTTAAAAAAGACAAAGAATATTATCATTGTTTTGATACTATAAACCGTAATTTATCTCAAAAATACATTAAATGAATATTTGCATATGAATATCTGACTGTTTTGATCATTACCCAGTGGTTTTAAAGAAGGATAAGCTTTATTATTCCACATTTGAGGCACAACATTAGTGAATAAACTTGCATTAAGATTTTCTAAAGCTTCAGACATAACTACTAGTCCTTTGAGAGCTTTCAGAAGATCAGTTAGGCTGTTGTGTATCAGTTTCAGAAGTGGGTTGTAACGAATTATTTCCTGAACTAGTACAGTGTTGAGTGACTCTTCGTATTGTACTGGATATCTGAAAAATAAGGCTTTAATAAAATCATTGGTCTAAAAATAGTTTACTATTTGTAATTTTAAGTTTGATTGAAGTATTGTTCTAGTAGGAGAGGATTAATCGTACTGAATGAAAGAAGAAAAATGAATCAAAAATAACTGCCAAAAACTAATTAAGGAAAAATATAATTCTCCATAACAGAGAGTAACCATTGAAAATTATGAAATTCATGACAAGTTGGTTCATGAATTTGAATTAGTGCCAACAACAATTCAATTGTGCTAAAATATAGGAACATGACTACTATTGAAGTCTTTAAGAAGTAAATCACAGTATATAATGTTTTGAAGTAGTAGTTCAAAATTATGAATTTAAATACTTATGAATACATTGTGTATCTGAATTTCTTTCAAAAGGAATAAAACATGCTTTTATATATTTCGAAAAACTTTTGGCTTTCATGCCTAATCCTTCAGTCATTAAAATCAATAAATTCTACATTAGACCAACATTTAAGAATGCTACACTGATGTCCCCCACTTTCAAAAGAGCAAAAACTTTGGTGAGCTCAGTTTAAAATCATAAGGATCTTTAGAGACCTCCCTAGGAGAGAATATAATGAACTGTGATAATTAATCATGCTGGTAAATAACATTTTTTATCACCTCAATATATAATTGAGCACCTGTGTAGTTTGTGTGTATGCCTTCTTCCATTACTAATTAATAATAACAACAACGACATTAAACCAGAGCAGAATTTATTTTCTACCAACTAGACATAATATATGAAATAAAAAAAATATTATAAATAATATGAAGCTAGCATTTTATGAATATGGAAGTAAGCATAATATAAAATATCAACATAACTTTGGCATTTGATTTCTAGATATGAAATCAAATGTCAAAGTTATGTCATGTTAATATTTCAGTCAGAATGTCAGAAATAAAATGTCATTTCCAGAGAAACTAACAATTGTTCTTGTGTGCAGGAAAATTGCACTTAAAGAAACTATAGAATTTGCAAGACGAATAGCCTACTCAATTAGTATCCTAAGTTATCTCAGATTAAAACTATTTTACAACTACTATTCCAGTTATAGCAAAATATTTAATTTTGACAATAATAATAATAACGGTAATCATAATAATAATGATAATAAAAAATAATTTCACAAAATGTTTCATTTTTTTACTTATTTTCTAGATACACTCCTGAAACCAATATATGATTTTTTTTTTCAGCAGTAAAGGATATTACATCAGAATGAAACCATAAATATTTTGTAGCACACTGGCATAGACCATGGACAAAATTGTAATATTTTGACAATTATGCTAGTACTCACTAAGATGGAAATAAAGTTATTGTTTCTACAGAAATGTCTTTCTCAAATGTCACAACTGTTCCTAGGTTGAAAAGAAGTTTATAACAAACTGTCTAACTACAAATTTTGCGTGAAAAAAAAATTATTTCATTGATTTTGTTTTTATTTAGATCACTTGATTTTGTGGAGGGAACAGCTCAAATTTTCACCATTACCTCTGAATTTTTGAAAGTTTCAAATTTTTTGGATCCTCTTGACAAAATACATATTTTAAGGCACATTTTTACTGCCTCACCTTACAAAGTTCTTTGAAGGAAGAGAAAGTTATGTAATCGTGCGCTGAAAAACGGCAAATTTTCGCCAGAAAAACTCTTATTGCTGGGCTCTGGTTTCTGACTTAAGTATGTTCTTTAAATTTAGATCTTTAATTAACATTACCTGAGTTTATTTGAAAATATGAGTAGATAGATTTCACATTAATATGAGTGAAAAGAGAGAAATAAAAATAGAGAAAATATGAAAACAAGATTTTCTAAAAATGAGCTCAAATTTTTTCTCAGAGCTACACTGTAAAGCATAGCATAAAAGCAATTTTAATTTAACCATTTGATTTTTCAAAACTTACACTTATGTATTCTATTTTAAATGTCTCTCACACTAATATTTACCTTACAAGCATTTTTCTATAATGTATTGCATTTATAAGTACAAGTGCTTCAAATTATTTCTTAGAGAGTTTCTTGAAATCTCAGAAGTGTTTTAAAGAAAGCGAGTTCAAAGCTGCACATTGTCAGTAATTCTCAAATGTTTCCTCAAATACAGCTCCAAATTTTTCAATGAAAATTAGCATAGAAATACAGAATTTACTTTTCTATGAAATACTTAAAACCATATTTCAATTGTGCTATTAAGGGACTGAAACATTGAGAAAATATAGAAAAAAAAGTGTGTTTTTTGATATCATGTATTCCTCACTATAAATATTTCATGGAAGTAAATTAAACTATTGTATTAATTGGCATCTACTGTAAATATTACCTTCTAAATTTTCTGTTTAGTTTAAAGTTAATTTTGTGAAAACTGATCTCTAATATTGATAATTACTCAGTATTATGTTATTTACTTCAGCATTAAAATATATTGTGTTTGCAACATTGCTATGGAACAATGGTGCAAACACTTGAGATACATAAATTCAGTGTTGCAAAAAAATCTTACGCTGCATATGCATAAAATATCCATTTCAGATATATTTTTATTTTATGAAATTATTATGTTTCCATAACATGTTTACAAATAGCGTCAAGTGATTTGGCCATATGGGATCAAGGTTTGGGGCAGGTGAGCCGATGTCCAAGTTATGTGAATGTTTTAAGTTGAAGTGAGGGTTGCGTTTCGAGTCCGTGAATTTCATCTTCGTTTACCCTTAATCTTTCCATAATCTCTTAGATTTAGATTTGTTTAGAGGAAAAATAAAAAATAAAAAAAAGAGAGAGAGAAGAAGAAAACGAAGAAAAACTGTAGTGTATGTGGCATATGGGGGATAAGATAATCTGCTCACGTTTTTTAGAGTTCTAGAATCCCTTCCCATCATTTTAACTATAAATAGTTGAAAGATGAGTAAAGGTTTAATGTAAATAAAAATTAATTTAAAAAAGGGCGAGATTAGCAATATTTGAAGAAAAAAAAACTAGACATTTTCGTTCCCAAGTTATAGAAAACGTATTTGCATTGGTAAATGAATTGCAGGTATGATTTTGGCGCATAGTGAAGCTACATTTACATCCGGAAGCAAAGCAAGTGGCCATCTCAGCATTTGCTCAATGGATCAGGGAAACTGGAGATGGGCCTTATTTTAGCCTGATCGATAAATGTGGGTGAAGGGCAGCCTGACTAATTGAATTACTGGGTCTCTTCGTCCCCTAGAACAATTGAACAAGCACGGAGATGGGGCCAAGGGATACCAAGGGCAAATATCGAAAGGCTCAAGACCAGGTAGGCCTACGTGATGTTCGGAGAGCGTGAAAGAACTCTGCATTGAGAATGTCTCCAGAATACATATTTTAAGCGCCGATGGATAGCAGCTGGCAAGACAAGTCTGAAGACAGGCCCCCCTGCACATAAGGCAAGGTAACCCGAATAACGTCAGAAAGCTGTGGTCTTTTGGGGGATCCGAGGAAGTCCTATCATTATATCTAGCTTACTTGGCCTGTCTGAGTTTCAGCAATTGAATCTGAGACGAAAGCTACAACTTCATTCTTATCCCGGCCGGGAATCGAACCCGGTACCGCACGCGGAAAGCGAGCGCGCTGTCCATGAGCCTCGCAAAGGATAACTTTAATTCAAAGTTTATGTATATATATATATATATATATATATATATATATATATATACACACGCACATACGTAAGACCATCGAAGACACACAAATATGATTGCCAAACTTGGGTATTAGCTGTAAAATCAAATTAAATCCTTTGCAAGTCATACAAACTAAGTTTGAGAGAAACGGAGCACCCGGATTATCCCAAAAATTCAAATACACAAAGAACTTCAAATACGAAAACATCCCATTTCATAAAAATGTTCTAAAATTTTACTTATTAGATAACGACGTTCCTTAAAGACAAATTCATGCAGTGGAGGATTAGCACTTACGAGGCCCAGGGACAATTCAATTTTGAGGTTGCATTCTTCGCATGTTTTTTAATGCTGGCCCAAGGTCCGAACATACGTCGAGAGCAAAGCTGAGTCACAGAAAAGATGTTTGCTTCAGCTGAACAACGAAATTTGTAAATCTTCACAGTACGACGCAGTGACATTCCCAAAATTGTTTTTATTTTCTCGCTTACTACGTACTTACGTAGTAAAGACAAAATACTATAATTCGGTAGCGGATTGACGATTTTTCGACATACAATCTCGTATGAGGCCACCTTCATATTGAAAGATTTTAACAATAAGTTAATTAGTGGTTTAATATTTCTTCCATTATTAAAACGTTTCTCAAATGTTCATCACTTAAATGACATCTGTACTTAGACTTCACATACTTCATTTTCGAGAAAGTCAGTTCAAATCTATCACTTGCACAAACTACTGTGAAGAAACGTTTGAAAAGCAAAGGCGTAGTTCCGTAGGGACCGTCAGGACCATGTTCAGGGACCCCGTGCATTTTGTTTCCAAATACAAGGCGAAATAATGTGAAACTGAATCTGATAAAATCATAGAACAGATAAATGAAATGCCTTTTTTCTATTATAATGGACAGAGCGCAAAACGATACGTTGACCAATTAAGTCAGATTTTACTATATGTAACAATCGAGAAAAAGGAATTCGGAAAACCGATTAACATACGAATTAATGAACCTTACAAAGAGTTTAGGAAGTCAAAGATCAATCAGCACAAGGGTAGCATTTTGATATTGTCGAAAATATAAAAGAACAAGAAATTGATTTATCGAAATATAGAGGACAAGGACATGATGGCGCAGCAGTTATGAGTGAAATTTACAATGGTGTTCAGAAAAAAATAGATGAAGATGAAAATGCATTGTTTGTGCATTGTGCTGCTCATGTTTTAAATCTTATCCTTAATGATGTCATGAATGGGACATTACAAGTTCCAACACTTTACTGTTTATTGAAACGTATTTGTTTTCTTTAGTCCTAGCATTAATCGATGGAA